TATCGTGTTTGATTTCAGAACCTTTGAAGAATCACTTCAACTAATCTGATTTTGTTTGACTTACAAGTTTACTTGTTCGACTGAATAATTGATATCGCCATTGATTTCGTAATACCTGCGGTGCACCGCCTGTTAAATTATTCAAATTTATTCCGAAAGGCAAATTTATGTTAATTTAAACTTTATAGGCATTGTTAACAGGTTACTCCATCAATATTAATGAGATTGTCTACAAGTAAAGTTCTTCACACTAAGAATATACAATTTCCTTTAAAGGAAATAAATTAACTATCAAATTGTTCCTTTGTGTGTTGGTCTTAATCCAATTTAGATAAAAGCCAGAATTATTGTAATGTAAATGAAGAACACACACTGGTAACAGTATTCTCTAAATATAGCTATGACCTTGTAAAAATACTTTACTCAGTTTTTCTTTTGAAATCCGTTAAAGCCATGTAATATTAATTTGCTACCCGTTATCTTTCCATTAAATGTCAATTCGAATTTCTGATTTCTGTGTATAGGATTTGTTGAAAAAGTTGATGAAATTTGTAATATTTTCAATATGGGTGACCACAAGGTCATTATTTGGATTACCTCGACAAAGCAATATGTAGTGTCGTTACAAAGTCATAAATAAAAAGTATAATTTGTCAGGGTACCGGCTGTTCTCACGAGTCGCTAGATTTTCGGGCGACTAAAGTGAATAATTACTAACCGATAATTATTAAGTCTGTAAACTTCTTTAATTTAATTATGATAACTCGGGTCTATACCTTAGCACGTGTAATCAACTCTTATCTGTTCTAACGAATCACCTATTAGCGCCTTATAACAAAACCACTTTGATCTCTTAATCTCATTTGATCCCAATCGACGCTGACAAATTTTTTCTCAAACTGAAAACTGTTCCTAATTACATTCAAAGACGAGCTTTGAGCTTTTGGATGGATGAAAACGTGCGTTTTAGATTTCTCGCGTGGCTCGTGTTACTAAAAGAATTGCTTGAAATAAATAAGATAAAAAGTACAAATAGAAAAAGAGTCGAAACCCTAAGCTTTTAGGGGTATTAGAACTTTCTAACAAAATATCAATTTCGTATAATATTGTTTTAAAATTATTCCTAATTACATGCTGCTCGTGCGTCCGCCGGACACTTTAAAAACCACTCTAGTCTGAAATGTACATGACTCGTAAAAACTCTTAAAACGTCTATATTTCAGCAATTGGTTTTTCAGATATGTCTCAAATTTTGCATGCAATCTAGTCTGAACATCCCAACCACATAAAGCTGTATAGTCAGATTCCTCTTTAATATTATAAAAAAAAACTATAGTTGTAAAATACATGTATAAGTAAATTATATTAAAATTCTATATGCCTGAGGAAAGCATTTCTACTTTCGATTTATCGTTATTAAAACACTGGCTGCTCAGTTCATCTGTGTGAAAATCAATGAAAGTGAATATAATATACCCAGTTTATAATTGGAACATAAGATATAATCAATAACATAATATAAATTATACAAATAAAAACAAACAATTATTAATGATTTAAAGGGAACCTACCGGGTATTCTTACATTGCATTATGCTTAGAGCTTGACGATTAAATTTTTATAAAACCAAGAATGATTTTTTACATCGTGTAGGATGTACGTGTAGGATGTACATGTATATATCATTTTGAAAATGATAAGCCATCCTCTACCCCTCCACCAGTCCCCAGCCTATAACAGATCAGTCATTTGTAACTTTGTTAATTATCAAATGTTAAATTAAAGGATTAAAATACCATAAACATACATTGAACAAATGATTTTATTTTAGTAGGTCATAAAATGATTATACGTTTAGGAAGAATGGTCCATTTTATTGGTTTCCCAAGAAGAATATGTATATCATATAATATTGACGTATATTATAAAACTAAGACAATCATCCTATATAAATAAACCTTTATAAAAAAAACCCCAGATTACCCACGGCTATGCTTATTGGCAATCAATTCATCTAACTCAAAGCCACATGTCTGTCAATTTTAGAAGACAAAATAGTTAGTGACAAGGTCGGAACCCGGGGGAAATGTTCACTTGGTAATTTCTTGTGAACAATGAACGATTACGTTAACAGTGCTAATGACCTGGTCGTTTGATTGGCCAATTATCACTCTTGATACAATTAGAATTTGATCCTCTCATTACGACGTTAAACATTGGTTGTCCTTATTATAAATACGACCAATTAAAGCGATTGTAGTATACACCGTTTATCATAATATTACATGACAGTCAAACTCGCACCAACTCTCACAGGGATCACTTAAACTCTTAACTTCACTCACCATCATTTCTCCGGATCTATATATTCAATTTCAAAATAGTGTTAAAGGAATTTTAGAGGAATTTTTTTTAACAAAAAGTGGAATTTATACCGTTACAAGTAAGTTTTAAAAGTCTTTTAATGCACATGTTTATTTAAAAAATGTTTGAATCAACGGAATAGTGCAATGGATTTGGTCTTTGAAACCATTTACCACTTTTCAATTGAGATCTATCTTTCCCATTTGAAAGATCAGCTTTATATTGACCAAATTTGTTCAGTTATTTCGTGTGGTTTTATTTTCATTTACGAACAAAATACGTGTACTAGTAGAGTAATAATTTGGTTCGACTGATCTATATACCGGTCCGATTGGTCTTGGCCCGAATGGGTTTTTTTCCGATTTGTCTGGGTACCAATGCAATTACAAGATAACATTCTCGTAGTAATATGTGATTTTGTATTGTGATTACCGGTTAGGACAAATTGAAGTTGCTATTTACTAGTATACGACCTGTACAAGCATATATGTATATATATTTACAAGAAACCATATAGTAGTAGTAGTAACATAAATATATTACAATCTATAGTATACACGGAAAAAATGTAACCTAATAATGTAGATATGAATATAAAGACTAATTATGTAAATAGATTCTAAGTGATAGTATTTATTAGTGTACTAAAACTACTAAAAACGTGTAGTGATGGATTACCTTGATGGCAATAACAACAACGTACATCCTACTATTAATGACTGTTAAATATTCTGTACAAAGCCATATAGCTACTTAAACTACTATAAAACAATATTTAAATGACCTTGTTTTCTGTTCAGTAAATCTTAAAGACAGTTTCGTTCCTTAACTGTCAGAAGATGTACCGAGTGCTTTCGTTTTAACATAAAAGATTTGCATATATGATATTTATATAAATCTTAAAATGACATTATGCAGGATTTACACGAAAAAAAACCCCAAAACAAGTCATTTTTCATTTGTTTTGTTTTAATAGCATCTACTCCTCCATATATTATTTTAAAATAAAATCTTACTTAATCTTAATTTGATATTTTGACAAGACATTTCTTAAGATTTATGCACCACCCTAAAACGACTTGTACACTAGAAAGGCGGCGTAACAACATATACAATTATTTCGATTTTTGTATATTCCAGTCTCAATATTTCTTCTGAAATACGAATTTTTTTTGTCTTGTTCAGAAATGGGAATTTATTCTTAAAGTGGCGTTTTTGAAGGTCATTATTGATAAACCGGAGATATTTTTAAGCACCCAGACCTGTGCTCTTGTATCTGGTTTTCTTGCATGGTGGTCGACAATGGTTTGCAGAAGGGAAATTCCACTCACCGACTGTTTTGAAGAATTGTTATCGGTTATCAGCATTGTTTCTGTTTTTGGTCAAGATATCATATATTAATCTTTTTGTTTGTCTTTGTCCCTCGTTCCCTGTTCTCCTGCAATAGATAAGACTTTGACAGAACTCTTAAAGTACAAGATATATTTCTAAGCACTTGTACACATGTTTGCAGATGGTGGAATGTAATTCCTTTCTCTCTTTCTGATCCCCGACCTTTGATATGTAATCACATTTATGTTACATTTAACGGTACATAATATCGAAGATGGTAGGGTTAGAAAAATGAATACATACTTGAAAATTGCAGATGTCATATTTGGGGAGAATACATGTATACGTCAGGAACAGCGGGACACCTTTATCCAAATATTTTTATTTCGTATGCACATATACGCGTGTTTATATTAAAATATTGAATTCGAAATTGGATTTTAATACAAGTTGTCCACAATAGCCCCATATTTAAATAAACCTGTATATAATGCAGATAGACTTCTAATCAATGAAAGACAAGGACAAACTAAACACGCGTGCTTATTATTTTTTCTGTGCTAATTGACGTAAAGTAGATTTTAGCACAATCGACATCTTTAAACACAATTGAATTGTTAAAAATACATTTTAAAAGTATATGTTTTCCTTATCAATGCACCTGACGTGTGTACAATTAACCGTAGTAAAATTACATGTTTAGATTCTTGACACGATAGAACCTGACAAATCTTTGTCTGTATCATTTAAATAACATTTCTTCTAGATTATAGGTTTCTCCTCAGTTTTTCTCTCTTCAAAATTTGCACCTATATTGACTGTGTAAGGTAGGGGGTTTTCTTTGCTCCATACTTCAAATATTCAATTTCGATTTTTTTTCCTCGTCGTGTACACCTGCGCTCTTATTTTAAACAATGTTTTAATGTCCTTCTTTGATTATGTTGTTTAAGTTTGTCGAGCTTTTGGGACAACGCCAGATATATTATATAATGTGCAATGTGTGTGCTCACACCGGGAATAAAGCCCACGTCGCATTTAAGTGTTTGCTTCTCCCTTTTCAATAAGTTTGGTTTCTTTCGTTACACCCAACTTTTCGCAAGTCGACGTTGAATTGTGTGTTTGTCAGGATATTGTATTGTTGGGGTAATATTGTGGTTTTGGTCAGAGAGGACGTTTCAATGTTTATTATTGTTTGAAATAAAGAGGGCGAAATTCGACGGATCCCTTACTTAGAAAACCCTCTATGTCTTAACCAACTCTCCTTTTACTGTTAGGATTCGTCGTCTATTGCCGTAAGTAAACACAGCCATGTGTCATTTCTATCATGCTATAATAAAATAGGCTCAAATATTTATCCCTGCCTCACACCCCAACACGATGCTTTTCAATGCGATGTAATATGACGATGTGTCGATGTGGACACGAAATAGCAATCGACGGTTGGCTGCTGAGATTTGCCACGGGATGATAACTCGAGCACTAGTTATCTGTTTTCTGATGACAGCCATTTCTTTAATTAGCTAACAAACGACGGACGCTTTTTTTCTATTGGAGTTTCGTCATTAAAATGACTTAACAAGACAAACTATTTCTTGATGACTTCGAGTTTTTTTGTGAATGTGAAGTTGAAGTCTGATTGTCACATTGGAGGAATGTGTATAGGATTAACTTGTTGGGATTAACACCGAGGTTCTATCAAAGACATATTGGTTTACAGATCAATAAAGGTAATCATTAGGCTTTAAAGGATTTATAAGCATAGCGTTAGAATATAATTATAAACTCTTAACATTTTTAATGAAACATTTATGATATCTCACCAGTATTCAAACCTGCTGATCAAAATACACACATGTGGATTATAAAGCGAAAATAAACAAATCATATGCCATTTGAATTGATTTTAGCTAGAATGCATAAAATAAGCACTGCTCTATATTACAATGGCAAACTAGGTAACTTTGTATTTTTAAAAAAATTGATTGTGACTTTGTTGGTGGTCAGCCTTGGGGTTACCAAGTGACCTCGACTTCTGAAATCCAACCCCAACTATCTCCCCCATTGGCTATTATTAGTGACAGGTGTCGTACACGGGGAAAGGTATGTTTACTCTTTCTAGAGACGTTGATTCCACTTCTCACCTATCTGCTCTACTCATGTATTGTATACAAACATATACAGGGAAGGAGCATATTTACGCTTTAAAGAACACCCGATTCCACTTATCATCTGTGCTTTGTATTGTATAGAAAAATGTACAGATGTACAGGGAATTAGCATGTTTACTCTTTCTAGAACACCAGATTTCACTTCTCAACACCTGTTCTTTGTATTGTATACAAACATGTACATACGCGGTTATAGTCTTTACGTTTACTGTTATATCATAGTCTATTTTATTTGTTATTAATATTTATAATAAATCATTCTTAATTGTACCACCAACTTCCTTTTATCTACAAAACAAAGTCGCTAAATGACAAACATGACTGATTATTTTGTAACGCAAATTTATTTTGAATGAATAAGAATACAAGCAGGATGTGTAAGTTTCTGTACGGGCGAATATTGTCCAATGATGTATTGTCGGGGGTGGGGGTAAACGTTTTTTGTGAAATGAAATAGAGTGGTATATTTAACGTAAATAAGCGTCAAGGTGTTCTAATTACCTTACTATAATGTATAAAGTTCCCATACGTAAGATCAATCATAAGGGCATTGGTGTGTCCGAAAATCGAGAAGGGGGGTGGGGTACAAATCAACGAAATAAGGATAAAAACAGATCTGAAGACTTCCAATATGAAATTGTTATACTTTTGTTTTCAAGACAACTGACACCCCAAGTGAAAAGAGAATGTATGTTTAAATTATCCATGACACAACACGCGCCTCTTGTAAAACCACCTTAAAACATTTCTTTTTTGGTTTTAAAAAGCTGCGATTGAAATTGTTACTGTCCAAAAGGACTCGGTTTCTGAAATTTAAGCAAAATAGTTTAACTCTCCCAAAATATATGTTCTGTAGTTTGTGATATGAATAATTATTCACATATTTAAATTGTTTTTGTTTAAATATAAAACAGGACAGTAGAAAATTGTGATATGTTTTATGAGACAGAATTGTTTGATTATTCATACAGGAGTTACCAAGGATGTGTAGTAATATTGTTTATGGGACAGTAAATGATAAATTGGCTTTTGTTTTGAGGCTTGTCTCTCTCTCCAACCTGATTCATTGCCATGTCTTACAATACAAACTTACAAAAATGACTGACTATGACGGAGTGTGACGTTCAACTACCATTTAATATAACTTTATTATGACAGTTTTCTACAGGACATCTTGCTGGGAGGACGTGCCATGAGTTATCCTCTTGGATGTGTTAATTTTATGTATGCGCAAACTGAGAGGCTTGTCTTTTAATATTCTAAAATTGTTTCGCAGTGTGGATACATGGGCACATTCTGGTAAATTTTGTATTTCTTTTACTGTGAAGGAATCCAATTAGGTTTGTGTTTTATATTCGAACGAACGTATTATCAGTATGTTGTTGGCGTGCATTCATATCCAACGGTATTGTTAATTGGTTCTTTCGTCATAGTCAACAATACTACTGTTGAATTTAACATTTATAAAAAAAAAATATTGCTCCTGAATATCACTTATTTCACGACTTATATACTAATTTAAAAAAAGTTAAATAAATTCTAAAAAGAATCAAATTTTCCAGTAATGACATTTTCTTATCCAGAAATCTAAGACATGTTTATGTAAGCAATACGAATTTAAGATATCGGGTTAAGAAAAAAGTCCTTACAAGTTTTATAAATGTGAACATGTTTAGAATTTTATGTGACAGTGAAATATGATGTTTTCTTTTCAGTACGTGTTATAAATGTATATTGTCATTTCTAGTAATGTTTTTGGCAGATATTTGGTCTGCATGTAGACGTAGCACCGGATGAAATGTAGATTTATCACGATCGAGTGTGTAACAAAATCCATTTTTTCTAATTCTATGTTACCTTACGCAATTTTGACACTGTCAAATTCTGTACGAAGAAAATAAACATGGCTATACCATTTCATCAACAAACTTTAGCGAGGGTAATTAAATGTAACACATGCTTCAATGTGGGATGTGAAACAAGTTTAATTGTTTTTTTCTAACAAGAAATTTCGGAAGAGTTACATGTTAGCGGGAACATATGTTTTAAAAGACTGAACATTTTCTCAAAGGATAAAAATAAACAATTTTTTTGTAGCTTATTAACTTGATACGAGGTTTCACATATTAAAAGGGAATATGACCCCATTTTACAGCATATTTACTAATTCCGTTCATATGTTTCCAATTCGAGAATGTATTCTGAATAATGAGGCATCAAAAATAAAGCTAGGTATGTATGCCTGGGCCAAAAAAACCAAATAACTTAATCTTGTTTTACAATAATGTTAATCGGCGACTATGATTTATGGATTTTGCCGTATCGTAAAAACACGCAAGTCTTGACAAAGAAAGAAAAAATAACACATTCGACACGTGATAAATGTTTGGTGAATTATCTTAGATAAGAAACGAACGATGTTATTTTATGTACATATTACAGGGCAGGACAATGACGTAAAGAAAATAAATGACGGTGAATACCCCACCTTTATTTACAAGATGCTAGCGGTGTTCAGCAAGGGGCGCACTTAACCCCAATTTCTTTATTGTTAAGGGCTAAATTATTTATCAACCGTAGGACTGGGACTACAACTGGACAAACATTCCTTTCACACTTTCTACACAGCTATTTACCTACATCGTTAGCTGTGCGATTCCTAAGTAGCCCCGAAGCTGCTCGCGCTGAATCTTGTGCCCTTTCAAATTGTTGACATAAAACTTAATAAATACAACCAAGTGATATCTTTGTAAGTGAGTGTATAGTTAAGGTGAAGATGAACAACAAGTTGTCCTGTCTTGTAAGCCGGTCCGTTGTGTATTTATAAATGTTTACTTTATTGTTGGGTAGATAAATGTTTGTTATACATCTACCTTGTGTATATACACATATATCATCAGCACCTATTAAGAGGGTCATAATGGACATAGCATCCTCGGAATGACCATAACTCACTCATTCTTGTAGATAACTACTCTCTATTAGGTACACTTGCATAAATACAAATGGAAGTCAGTACAACAACTTAACAACGTGCCTGTTTGACTTTTTCATAAAAAAAATAAGAGAGTAAAATACATGAAATACAATTAAATACTTACTAATTTCGTTTTAATTATTTCATAAAATTCATGAAGGTTTTCTTTATCATTTCAGGATCCACTGATGGAGAGTCGCCTCTAATCAAAGCATGGTGATAAAAAGTATTGAACATCATTAATTTTCTGGAGTAACGACAATACATTGTCATAATGAAAGAATTTGGATTCAAAATCGTTATTTTCGCCTGTTTGTGCTTTCTTGGACAATGCGTGCCTGATTTTAAATTTAGTATGGCTGAGGAGGAAATTATTGGCACCGAGGTTGGAGATATTTCAAACAGTGCTGTCTTCTATAGCGGCATGACCGCCACGGAAATCTCAAATCTACGTTTTGGGATCTTGGATAAAAGTCGGGAACCAGCATCTTTCTTTTCGATCGACGAATCCTCGGGAGTTTTGACAGTTAAACAGAAAATTGATCGTGAAAATGTATGCGACTACACTAGTACCTGCACCTTGGAATTTTCAGTGGCTGTCCATTCAGTGAAAACTTCATTTTCCAACATTGCTATTGTACTTGTAACTGTCCTCGACATCAACGACAACTGGCCTACGTTCCCTGCTAACGAAGTGCACCTCGATGTCCCGGAAGGTACCAAAATCGGAAAAGTTTTCAAAATCACCGGTGCCGTGGATATTGATTCTCCCCCTGATAACACATTACAGACTTACGAACTCACTCTTGCAGAGAACATATTCTCCTTGACCTCTACCGAAAACTTGGATGGTAGTTCGGTAATTAACCTCAAACTAGAAACCTCTCTCGATCGCGAAAAGAAGAGTGGTTATACCTTTAATATTATCGCCAAAGATGGTGGTTCACCACCTAAAACCGGAACCCTCCGAGTCAAGGTCACTGTTACGGATGAAAATGATAACCCTCCTGTCTTTATGAATAATACCTACAGCATCAATATTAAGGAGGATACCCCTGTCAATTTTACTGTGTTACAAGTTAAAGCTATAGATCTGGATACTGATCTAAATGGACAAGTACGGTATCATTTCAGCACCATGCAGTCCGCTAAATTGAAATCACTTTTTACCATTAATCCGATGACCGGTGGTATTCGTGTAGCAGGGGCCTTAAGCTACGAAGCCGGGGCCACGCACCAACTGATTGTAGTGGCACTGGATGGGGGTAGCCCACCTCTGAAAACTCAAACCGTTGTTAATGTTGCAATATTGGATAACGGAAATAATGCACCACGGGTCCGAATGAATACTCTATCTAGCGATGAAACTGATGTTACGGAAGTTCCTGAATCGGCGACCCCGGGTGCCTTTTTAGCTTTTGTTGAAGTCGAAGATTCCGATCCGGGACAGAGTGGACGTGTAGAATGCTCCACAACAGATACCGACTTCAAACTCGAGGTCCTTCAGGGAAAAGGATATAAAGTGTTATTAAATAGAGCGTTAGATCGAGAAATGCAGGATACATACGAACTTAAAGTCACATGTACAGATATGGGAGAACCCCCTATGAGTTCTACGGCTAATTTGAAACTTATAGTTGCAGATGAAAATGATCTTCACCCTGTTTTCACTCATCAACTGTATAACGCTACTATATCGGAGAATAATGAAATCGGCGAGTACCTTGTTACGGTAAAAGCAACCGATAACGACTTTGGCATGAACGCCAAGATTAGATACTCGTTTGGCGAAGGTGCTAATGGACAATTCAGAATGCAATCTAGTAGTGGAATAATTTCTGCTGGAAGATCTTTTGATCGTGAAGAGAACTCAAAGATAACTTTCACCGTCATTGCAACTGATCTTGGCACACCAGCTCTAAGTAGCTCCGCCCAAGTGACCGTGACTATCCTTGACAAGAACGATAACCGACCCACTTTTGTCCGCCCTTTTTATCAATTGGAAATACGTGAAAACGAAGTACCCCATACTGTGATCGGGCAGATAGAAGCTGTTGATGAGGATGAAAGTACCAACGGCGTGGTGGAATATTTTATGGCTGGTTCGGAAGGAGGTGTCGTACCTTTTGAAGTCCTTCCCAATGGAACCGTTCGTACGACGAAAATGCTAAACCGGGAACATGATAATAAATACTCTTTTACCGCGTTGGCCAGAGACAAAGGTTCAAAACCCTTGACCAATTCAGTGGACATATTAATTACGGTACTAGACATTAACGATAATAAGCCAGTTGTCTTATTCCCGACCTCAGGCAATCATACTGTGCTCATCTCCGTTTTCCCAGAACCCAACTCAATAATTGGCAAGATAATAGCCTACGATGAAGACAGTGGTGACAATGCTAAATTACGGTTTAGTATTGTTGCGGGTAATGGCGAGAACGTTTTTGACATTGACAATGAAACTGGAGAAGCCATGGTTATTAATAATTGGAAACTGGAAACTGATCATGTGTACGATTTGACAGTGAGAGTCGAAGATTCGGGAAACCCCATTTTGTTTGATACCACCAAATTACGCGTGGAGGCCATTTTTGACAATAAGACTATGAGTGAGTTGGTAGATGGCGCTAAAAGCGATAAATATATAGTTATCGCCGCTACCGTGGCTGGAGCAACCTGTGTATTATCCCTGATCATAATTACGGCAATTTGTCTTGTTTTGCGAGGAGAGAGAAGAAAAGCATCGGCCCAACCCAAACCAGATACAGTTTTTGATAATGTTCCGGCTATTACCTCTGACAAATCTCCTGATCCCAATATTCTTTTCGGTGACCGGCGGTCGAACTCAAAGAGCCTGGTTTATGGAGGTGATACGAGGGGAGATGGCGTCGGTGGCAAGAAGAAAGAGGTGAGCTTTAGTTTGGATGATTCAACTGAAGCTAGAGAAACAGAGTTTCATCCCCGACCAATAAATATAGCTCTAAATAGAATGGGATTAGTGCCGACTACTAACATACACATACATGTAAGAAATATAAGCTCTAAATTTTAATTTAAAAAAAGTCAATTATTACAAATTTGTTCTGATAGATATAAGGAAATCATGTCATGGCCTACTTATGTTATATTAGAGACGCACATACCTTGTCCCCCCCCCCCCCCGGCCCCCGCCCTCCTGAAATTACCCACCGCACAACTTTAAAACCATCCTTGTCAGAAAAAGTACCCCGATTGTGAACATGTCACAACGATACTATAGGTGCTCTTTACTATGCAATTTTGGACGAGACTAACAAGTAATCTGATTTTTTCAAACAGCAAGTTATGTGTTGTTGTTTTTTCCAAATAACAAATAATGTGCTTTTTTAATAACAAGTAATATGCTTTGTTTATAGAGTAACAAGTAATATATTAATGATGTTTTTATGTTTTATAGAATGATGATATACATAGTGATACATCAGGTGAAACTATAACTAGTGATAGTGGTAGAGGTGGTAGTGAAGAAGAAGTTAATATGCAACCTCTTACTGATAAAAGTAAGTATTACATTATATAATAATGCAAATAGACCTATAAAAGCTACTCTAATACGCTTGTCACAGCACGCATGGACCTATGATAGCTACTTTATTATCACAGCACGCAATATTCGAAATATCAAGCGAATTTCACTCTGTTTTCCATTTGGGGGTTTCTTAATTGTATTCCATACCATATCGCAAAATATCATAAAGACTTAGTGGACCCACTGAATTAAAAAATGCGAACTCCCTAAACGAGAAGTGGTACAAGGTAAGCATATCCTGCTCCATTCGCGACCCCGTCACTATTTCGTTCTATACAGAACTAAACTGCATTGATCTCTGCCATTGTCTCTCAATAAAGCGTCAAATTATTTTCAAAGAAAATAGGAATTATCAGGAAGGAAGGGCATTTGTAGTCAATCATTAATGATTCAGGACGAATCGGCGCCTTTCTTTATCCTGAGAAGACCTTTGTTGCTTTCATTAACTTTATTGTTCTATATTTCTTTGATTTCAGAACATCAATGGCAGGCTCCATTAACATCAAACAGAAACACGTCTTTTGACCAGTATTATACGGACAAGCCAAGCCATGAGTACAGAAATAACAAGCCTGGACAACCGCGATTTTTACACGCTAATACAAATAGACAGGACAGTTATAGACAGGATCAATCTTTTAATAGATCCAAAAACAATGACTTTTCTTCCAATCATCGGGATAGTTTTAGGGATTTCTCCAACCCAAGAACAATGTTATTACCCTACAATACTCAGAGTTCTGTCATTTCACATGATGATGACGCCAGTACGACCACTTCCGGTAGCTACACAATCAGTCCGGAAGAGAATTTTCATGACATTGTGATGGGAAAGGACGTTATTGTGTAATACGTGTACTATGACGTCACCGATTGTGTTGTACACGTTTTAAAGTACGTGTCAAATTCTTGCCATAATAACTCACTGTATAGGACATACCAAAGAAAAATTAAAATGTGCTATTAAGAGTATTACTGTGGTTAAAGGAAGTGCCATTTTGTGTTAATCTGTTGGAACAATCTTATTTTCAAAAAAACATTTTCATATTTCATAAATCATTTCCTCACCAAAGACATTTTGAAATGACCTATGGGTCAAATTTATGTGCTCTGTTTCATAGTATGTGTGTTGTGCGCGTGTCTGGTCATAGTTGCATGGAATCATTCGTGTGTTTGTGTCTCTTGTTTAAACGGAAGTGTGTATGTATGTCGATTTCATTTGCATGTGTGTTAATCATTCTTATCGTAATGTTCATATTTGGTATTGCCAATTGTTTTTGTTTAAAACAGATTCGCAGAACAATTGAATTTATTAATATTGCTGTATATTTTTTCATTATTAAGAGTGCTCATGTAGATTGCATAGTTATGACAAAACTATAATATAGAACAATGTACATTATTTATGAATTATATTTGACTTCAAAAGTTCATTATAGTGCATGAACATTCATCCAATTTTTTAGCATTCTTTGTAATTTTGACTTTTTCTAATATTTTTCTAAGAATTAAATATACTGAATCAAGAATAGACCTACATATAATTAAACTTGATTTGAATTTATTTATTGCAAATATAACATTTATTCGTTGAGCCAAAATTGAGTTCTATGTAATGATAGAGTTCTATGTAATGATAAATTTAAAATTGACTTCGAATAACATTACCCTTCTTCGTTTGTCCAATTTGAAGTCAATTGTACGCATTTATTAGTGTTTTTTTTATTAATAATTTTATTAATATTTGTAGATACTGTTTTGTTACTGAATATAAAGAAGATATACTATTATATGATTTAAGAAATATGTTTTTGTTCTTTAACAGTTAGTATGACTCAGCAGCTTAGCTATTGGTTGGAGCGATGGGGGCGCTCCGCCTGGGACCACACTTTTTTCTTTCTGGTCAGTAGAACGATACAGAATGAAATGTAATTTAACGCCCTACTGTTCTGGAAAAAACAAGGCTCGTGAAGACATACGCCCTGCAGTGTCTTTTTAGAGAAATATTGCCTCGCTTTTTCATCCCATCCGACACCTGCTGGCTGAGCCACCATGGCTTCAGTAGAATAATAAAAGGCACAAGCTCAATGTTATTGTTCCAAAATAACACTGCTTATTACCGGGAATGTTTTATGTGTATTGTCGGGGTGTGGGCGAGGAGAGGGTGGGGGGGGAAACTCTAGCTACCCACTGGTATGTTTGTAAACTGACATGTGGAATACTAAATAGCACTCCAGGCAACACTGAATATAAACCGAATATAAATAATGTCATTGGCCTTCATTACATAACAATGGAATGAATTTGACATTCATCTATCATCCTTTTAGGCTTCAGCTATTTCCACAGGGGTGGGATGGGATGTGGTGGCATGTATCGCTTTCCCGGGATACAATCGAATTGATTAGACGTAAGTAAGATTCAGGGTAAACCCCAGACATCAATGTACATGTAAGTCTTGTGTCTGCTTTGACCGAATTAACCTCTTGGAAGCCATGCAGTTGACCCAATTTATTTCTCCTCGGTAACAGATCTCTACACTTAAACACACCGTGATGTTTACACTTTAGTCCTAATTAGTAAATTTGGTGATTAGTCAAAGATAAAACATGTCAGACTGGAATCTGGAAGTCATGTGTTTTGGCACCAATTCTCACGGAGATAATGAACTCGTTATTTTCTACAGGAAGAAACAATTTTCTGCCTGATGGAATGATGAAAAATATCTCTAAATATTGCGGATATTTGGACAAAAATAATTACATTTAGCATCGTTTTTTGTGGTGGTCTGCAACCTAACCTTCATATGCGTTGTCGAGGGTCAAGGTCGCTCAGTGAGTATGGCGCTGGTTAATGGATGCTGCTGTTGGCCAAGAAAGTCCCTTGGTATTTGCCTTTGTTACTGGTGCAGGATTGGGGGATTGGCATGTGAATGTGACTAGTCGTGGGGATTGATCGGAAACTGAGGTCAACCCGTGTACACCTTGGCGGGCACGTAAAAGAACCCATCACAGTTGGACTTCGACGAAAAATAGGCGTGTCCGTCTTGCTTAGTCTGATTCATTTCATTCCGTCATTCGAGTTACTAAATGCTTCAATACCTTGCATTGTACGGATCATAGGTCTGTCATCTATGTAAGTCGCATGTTCGAATCCCATGATTTACGTGACAAGGCGTACACTTACCATTATCCACATTACACAAACGATAACTTCATTGTGGGGATGCGAATTATGACATATTTCATATAAGATGTGTTAACGTATATTTAAAACAAATCCTGTTATTTCGGGATTAACACAACCTTTCATCAAATCTCTTGCACTAAGAGTTGGTTGGCTTGGGTGTTAATGCCTCCTCATTTTCTTCTTTTTTACATCATACTGTGGATTATTGAGTAATTGGACGCTCTCCCACATTGGAGAACGACTTTCAAGAATTTCTAATGGGGTCTCTAATCTAAATTTTTGACCCCTAATACATTTCAGTTTGCAGTGTACAGGTGTCTACTCGCTTTTGCAAGGTGTTCAGAAAGATATAAAAGTGTTGTTTAAACTTGGTAACGAGGGTCCTATCCGCACAGTACTTCTACACACAGTGCGTGTTTACTTTGACGTAAAGGGTATTACAATTCACTAACCACACTCGTACGACATTAACTAGAGTGTTACGAGTAACACAGGGGCGTGATGTCAAGTTGCACATTACGTCATAATCTTACCGTGTCTGTGTATTCGTGTTTCAGCTAACACATGTCCGCTAGAGGTAAAAAGATGTGCTATCTGTTACACTCCATGTAAATATGTACCTACAACGATTTAGGTACCAACTGGCGGTGTAGTATAAACCAAACTTCATGAACATATTTACGAAACCGAATTTAGAAAAACAATTATTTACTAAATAAATATAGTATCAGAAATGAAATGAAATGCGGTTTAACGTCCTACTGTTCTGCACCGACTGTGCTAATGATGTATGGTATACGCTGTGCAGTGGACTACGGCCTACTCATATCGAATTCCAACTGTCAATGGTTCTTTCGTCCCATCACGATGAACTTTCTCGGCCAACGCAGGGATCGAACACGGGATCTCGGGGTTAGCGAGCCAACGTCTTATATAACTCCCTGAGCTACCATATAATATAAGATCTTGTACCCCATACATGTATATACTAGTATACTAAGATTCATTTTTTAATCTGTACACCCACTGTTCCCGTAATTATTTATCTAGAAAATGAGGATGTTCTTTTGGATACAAAATATTATTGAAGTGAAATGAAATGAAATGGGGTTTAACGTCCTACTGTAAAATATGATTGTATCAGAACTGAACAATTGCCTGGAGTATGATTGGTCGAAAAGTTTACGAATATTTCCATTTAACCGAATTCATTCGAGGACAGGGGATTATGGGTGGTCCATCGTGTGCTCTTTAGATCATGAGGTCAGTCATTGGGTCAAGTGGTGTGGTTTCGATCCCAGGCTTCCACGAGACTCGTAGTATGGTCGTCGCCGAGGTTGGACGGCATGGTGCAAGGCGTACGGTCTGGCAGCGAACAGCGTCTAGTCGTTCGGATGTTACGAAAAGCAGAGGTCCCATGTATCCATTGGCGTGCGCCTTAAATAACATTTGACATTAGACCGGGCGAAATTTCTCTCATTGCAAACTGCTTGCCATGGTCATCTTCATTATCCTGGTTGAAGCAGAAAAATTGAACGTTAAACCCCATTTCATTTCAGAATATAGAAAGAGACGGACCACCACCTTTAAATGTGTAATACGAATAGAATGAATCAATATAAAAACATTTTGTCTTCGCTGTATCCAGATTCAATATTCCCACCTCGCTTGTTAATCAGAGGAAAAACTCATATAAAAATGTGATAAAATTGATTTATAAAGAAATTATCATGTTCTCCTTGCTTTTAAAAAAATTGAAAAGCAGAGAAATCCATAAAATCTGGCGCATGTTTGACAAATGTTGTACACTAGGGGGAGCTTCTAATGATTTATCACATTTAAATATTACTCAGATTAAAGGGGTAGTCACTTTGGTGTGGAAATCTGAGGTGGGGTGTTACAATCCTTCCGTTAAACATGATCATATTTCTTGACATAATAATAAGTGCAGGAGGACCACACTAAAGATAAGACAAACATGTGGACATGATACAAACTACACAGTGAAAGCAAAAAAAACCCCACAAATAATGGAACCACTGCGCTGTACAGTCCATGGCCTGTAATAATACAGGCTTCGCTCCAGCCTACAATAAGATTTACAACAAAGACGTAATTGAAATAAGGCGGCGGATCTTGACTGTGGTCGTCTGCTGAATAACGTTTCTTAATTGCGATTGTATGCCAGTTGACGTCAAGAGTTAGAAAGTCAAACGATTAAAAAATAATACAAAAAAGAAAAAAGAAAAAAAAAAAGATTGGTATCATGCACAAGGCAGAGCAGGTTCCACTTTATATATATATATTTAACTAAAACTTTGTTGAACAGGATATTGGATTTTTGATTTCTTGAACTTTATATCCCATGGCATTAAAGTCCACGTCAGTTTCGATAACGCCAGTACAAAAATCCAGTTGGCAGTTGAAATTCGAAGGGTAGGCAAAAATAACCCTATCCGTGAAAAGTCGCCCCCAACGCCTTCAACACGGAATCATAAATACAAGGTCGTGTAAGTGGGCCTTTACTTTAAATGAGATAGGGTCAGCATGCCTCTAAAGTTAAAACTTTCTTTTTATATGTGATGATGATGAGAAAAAAATATTTTGATAGCGATATTTTAAAAAAAGAATAATATTGTTTAAGGATATAGTGTTATGCCACCAAGTTTATGAACAATTTTATATAAAAAGTAAGGCCACGAGGATATAAACAAAACAAACGCTCAATGCCCCACAGAAAGAAATACATGTGTTACATTTTTGTGTGGTTAATATTGTTGTTAAGCTCGATAACATTCTGTGACTGTATAGATTGACAGATAAAAATATCAGGAACGAGTAAATTTACGTCAATGCTTTAACTTGGTCTATTTGACAAACTTGGTATCCAGACACGGATAACCTTGATAGGGAACCTCAAATTTGTTTGTCCTGTACTCTTGAGCCTAGCTCACAACCTGCCGTACGGGTTTTGACACGCACGCACGGGTCGTAAGATTTTGTAGTTCGCAGACCAGTCGCAAGAAACCGGGTGAAAATTTTGTATGTGCAGGACCAAAATATCAGTCTGACGCGTTAGTCTCAACGTACGGGTTTACTCAAATTTCACCCGTAGACAGCGGGTTGTGAGCTAGACTTTATATAAAAGATTCAAACAAAATCTTTGTCGTTCGAATGGGGTGAAAACCCAAGGCCCCAAATAGCAAATATCACGTTAAAGATCCTCCGATATTTTGAAATGGAAAAAAGATAAGTCTGTGACGCCGCTGTCTGGACAAAAAGTCCATCATGACACATTGAATGGGGTATGTTCGGTTGACGCAGAACAGTTTGACATTAAAACACATTTCACGTCGTGTCGTAGACGCAGGACCGTCCAACTGAGCTCCCGCCTAAGGCATATCTTAGATCGACAGAGTACTGATGATTCAGGTTCAACGTTTTATTGAGAAAATGACTGAGATTATTGCAATTTAAAAATTCATAGAAGTTTCAGATTCTGTGCTGTTCATTTTCTCTACAAAACACCCGTTTTTTTTAAAAAAAATGAAAGTTGGCAATTATAGTCTGGCACAGACCCTTTCTAGAAATTCAGCTT